TGTCGACCAGACAACGGTATTCCGTAGAAGCCGGGAGCTGTGAGCCCAACATGGTGAATGTCAATATAGATAGTAAGTGTATGGAGAAGTGTATGTCAGGTGCTGCTATTTCTGGCGGCCACTTCAGCCTAGGCTATAATTAGTCAAGCGGTAAGATCGGCATCCCAAGTTACGGTACCGTACCAAAGACTGAAGCTGAAGAGATGCTGCGCAATTCGCTTCAGTCACAATCATCTCATCTCATTCACATTCATCTGTCCACTTTTTTGCCCCTTTCTCTTTCATCTCTCTCAATCTCTCCTCATTCAAATAACGTGATTGAACGAAACTCATTTCGCTGCTATTGTTGTTGCGCTGCCGGTTCGCCAACGCTACCATTTGAAACCGCCCACTTTAGCGTCCGCGCGGCATTGATCGGGTTGCCCCGTTCACCTGGTCTTGGGTTTTTCGATCGCTATCGGCATAAACAATCCATTCCACCCCATCTCACGCCCCTCCACAACGCCTTTTGAGACGCCTGCCTCGACATACAGCGCATCAAAAAGGATCCTCGATTTGATTCCTCACAAAAAAGTCCGATCGCTCTATCCTCTCTTTCGCTTCCGTACAAGGAAGCGCCCTTTGTCGTCAGGCACCGCTCCCCGTCTTCCGTCTTTCTCCTCTTCCTCCTTCCACAATGAGAATCGCACGGCCTTCTTTCAATCCCGGGAGGACGAAAAACCTCATCCATGGGTTCCAGGGGTTCATCATCTTCCTGGCGTGGGCCCTGACCATCGCTGTTTTCACAAAGGGAGGTGGCATTGATGGGCGTTCCGCTTGGTACTTTGCTTTGGTACGTTGCGATAACTGAAATCCCCACACCTGTCGCCTGATGACATGTACTGATTCCCAATTAATTCTAGTGCTGGTTCAGTATCCCCGGCCTGATCTACCTCGTGGCCGTGCCCATGTGGCCCCGCGCACGCCGCTTCGGTAACGTCTATGCCTTCGCAACCGTCGACTGCCTGTACGCCATTCTGTGGTTCTCTGCCTGGGTCTGTGTGGCTAGCTATGTGGCCGAGGGTAAGAGTAAGGGAAGTTCGGACTCTAGTTCCGACTCCAGCTCCAGCTCCAGCAGTAGCTCGAGTTCGTCGAGCAGAAGGGATACTAGCAGCAGCTCCAGCAGCAGCAAAAGCGGATGCGATAACTGGGCCTACGGAAGCGCCAGTAAATGCAAAGTCAGCACAGCTACTGTGATTCTGGGGGTGGTTGTCTTGTGAGTATACCCATCGCATCCCCATTATCTGTGCTGATAATAGAATAGCCTGCTTTTCTGCGTCACTGCCTTCATGTCCTTCCGCAATGTCTCGCATTTCCGCCGCACCGGAACCTTGCCCGACGCCGTCTCCGATCCCACCTTTGCTGCACAGACGAAGGCTGCCTTTTCCTCTAACCCCGCCCATGATTTCGAGGAGGAAGAAGACGACTTCCGCTCCCGTGCTGGTATCGGCTCCTCTGTCCGTGGCGACCGGGACGAGGACTACGCTCTGCTGCAGCAGAGCGAGGTGGACGAGTTTGGAAACTCGCATGCAGCACGCTCGGCGCTGTCGGGCACATACGACCCGACGGTCTCTGGTGGAAGCGTGCTCCACGACTACAACACCAGCTATGGCGGTGCGCACGGCCAACATTACGGAGGAGCGTCCGAATTCGGATCCAGTGTAAGCGGCTATGGGCGCTGAGCGTGGCTAGCGGCGGTTTTCTGCGTTTATCTCTTCGACATGACCATGGAGCGGTGTTTGTGGGCGCAATCGTGCTGTATTATCTTTCTGATTGACTTTTGCGTGAAGTTTCAACTGCCCATTTCTGTCTGCTGCTTCCACTGGTGATGACTGTATGCTGTGATGGGACGGGACAAGTCCCTTACGTGTTCGCATCGGACTTTATGTCTGCATGGTTATTGATGATCTGGATGACACGGTTGGACTATGATATAGATAGCATTAAGTGTAAATGTATATGGCTACCCAATATTTTCCTATAATTGCCATTAGCAGATTCTCAAAATCCTTGCAGACTTGCTTTTTCCAACCTCTACTGCTGGATGAGTGATTAATTGTCGAATCTTGACCTTGTCGATACTTTGATATCTATACCTGCAACTATCATTCACTACTATGCCCGGACAGAGAACTAATCTCCGCACATGACTCCCTTCTTCGTCCAGAAGTACCCCCACTCACAACATCCCCAATCAATCATCAAATTCTACAAGCCACGAAACCATCCGTTCAATCAAAAGACTAACCTCCCATAGATCCATATCCTACAATGGACTGCATTTAACTTGCTTGCTTTTAGTTTACCTTGATTGGCTGGTGTTTGGTTGCTGTGGATTCACAACCGACGCTTTCCCTAGAAGGGCAGATACCAAGTGCCTACATAGATAGAAGTCTACTGTGTAGGAACATCCCTGTGGTCGAAGCGACTGTTTATAGCCATTCTAACATTTTGGATTGATATACTGGTGCGCAGTATGTAACTATTGTCAGTACTATAGTAGAGGGTATAGCATAGAACTCCGAATGAATGCATTGATTTCCGAGTATAGCGCGTACAGATTGTCACATAAAAGGTCAATTAGACTCATAGATACTCCGCTAAAACTAAGCTCGTGCAACTAGCCAAGCAATTAAAGAGACAAATACATATCTCATCAAAGTCAAGAACGCGATAACGATGCAATCTGCAAAATAATTACCCGGCCACTGACCGCCACAAACCATTATGCCGGCAATTCTGCCACCGCCCCAGACTTATCGCAGGACTGGACAACTTGCGTCCAGCTTGCTTCTTCCTACAGTTCTGTCATCTCCCATACGCCTGTTCTTCAATCAATCAATCCAACAGGTCGTTCCCGCATGTTTCCTAATAATACCTATATCTGAACGTGAGTCAATGAACCCTCCCAATATAATCGAAACCACTAACAACCGCCGCACAGACCATATTCTGGGTCAACACCGAAATCTGAAACTACACACGATACCTATCTAGATAGATAGTATCTAGCTATACGGTCTTCACACAACCACGAAAAATATACCCACCACACATAACTCTACATCACACAGTCAAAAAGAAAATGGCCTCCGTCGACCTCTTCACCGAATACCCCCTCCACCTGGACCCAACCAGCAAATCCATCTCCCTCAACACCACCAACACCACCACGCTCCCCACATCCACCGCCACAATAACCGCCGAACTCACAGACCTCAACGCCCTGCACCGCTCGCTCATCTCCCTCGACCCGCCCAACATCCCCCCTCCCCCACTCCCCATCAACCCTAAGCGCAGCGCCCAAATCACCAAGCTCCGCGACAGCGCCAACACCGCATACCGCAAATCGAACCACGCCGAGGCGGTCCGTCTCTACACATACGCCATTGACATGGCGCTGGGCCGGCCCGGCTGGGAACCCGTCACGTTGGCGAGAGACGAGTTGGCGGGGTTGTATGCGAATCGGGCGCAGGCGTGGATGAGCCAGCGCGCGTGGCCGGAGGGGTTGGTCGATGCGAGATGTAGTGTTGAGAGTAAGCCTGTGGCGAACGTGAAGGCTTGGTGGAGGGGTGGGAAGTGTTTGGTGGAGATGGGGAGGTGGGAGGAGGCCAAGGGGATGGTTGAGAAGGGGTTGGAGATTGAGGGGAGGGTTAGTGAGGGTGGGAAGGAGCTTTTGGGGTTGTTGATTGAGGTGGAGGAGGGATTGAAGAGGAGTGGTAGTGCTTGATTGTGGATGAAGAGTCAGTGGATAGATGGATGTGGATATGTGATGGAAGGTTGTTGTGAATCGAGCTGGGATTCGATTATCGGAGTACATTATTACTTCTCTCATTATTATATGGCTTAATGGCGTTATGGTTGTATGAATATCATCATGCATTGATTGCGTTCAATTCACCTACCCGTACCTATCTATCTAATCCCCTAGTAAATCCAATATAGCAGATAGTTGTACACAGTATGAAAGCTATCCCAAAACAGCTTAGCAGTATACATACAAACAAGTAAGGCTGAACCCCATCCTCGGCCCCCAAAAAAGAAATATAATAAAACATGAAACAGCGACGATCAACCAAAAGCAAATCACAAACAAAGTATACAAAAAGAATGAAATGGTATGAATGAAAAAAGTATCTCCGATGCGGGGAATCGAACCCCGAGCTGCTGTGTGAGAGACAGCGATGTTAGCCATTACACCACATCGGACTTTGTTGAAAATTGGTGGTTCGGAGCAAATTATATTGAACTGGAGGGGGTTTGTGGTGTGGTTCGAGTGGGGACGGTGACGGTTACGGTTCCAGTTTGGTGTGGGTGGGGCATAGGGTAGGTGAGGTCATGTCATGCTTCAGTTGTCTTTTGTGGCTCTTTGTGGGTGTTATTAATTTATTTACTGTTCATTCTAGAGCGGAGCTTTATTTTCGATTGTTTATAGTTTTATAATGTATGTGTTGATTGGAAGGGATTGTTGTTTGGTACTTAGTATAGGAGTAAGTATCATGGTCTTCATTAAGGTACTATACTGATCGGGAATATATATCTAGCAGTGATCGCTTCAGTCTTAACTGTTGTAGATGAGTAAATCGTACCAACAAAAATGTCAGAAACAACTGATAGTACTACTAGTAGTGAATAGAGACACCAAATATCATCCACCATCAGTTGCTGCTTTTCGAGCCGTTCTAGTAGGAAATGTGTAGGGGGCAAAGACATCCACCCAGCCCACAAGAACTGAAAGATCTGGTTGGGAAGTAGGGTAGTGACACTCCCCAGTAGACCAACCCCAGCTTTGGGCTGCCACACTGTCCAAGCCATCTCTGAACCCATTATCTTTCATCACGGGCCATTATGGACCTCAAAACAAGGTAGTCAAGACACCTGGACAATCCCAAAGCTTCTGCGCATGTCTTTATGACCTGAAGGTCACCAGCGCCAGCGAGTGACGTTTGAGGTTGAAATATGGCGTTGATGTTGATTGATTGAGCATTATGACAGGCCCAAGTCAGTTGGTCTTATTATATAGTTGGGTTTTCAGGGCTGAGCATGATGAGTATTGATTCGAGCATCAGATCCTCAACAGCATCCGCTACAAATAATCAACCATTCATCTTCATATGAAGGAGCAAAAGACCGTTTCCTGAGTATGTCCTGTGTTGATAGACAGCTAACATGATGCCCAGCATGAGGCACCGCAGAAGGATCTCCGCCAGCCGGTGACAGCAACCAGCTGCCAACGAAGAACTTTTCCGTGGTACTTTCCTTTCATACTGCGATGGTCTGTATCTGTTATTCCAGACTTCTTCACTCAGGTTTGGCACTGGTATCCCACAGCATCCAGCCCATTTTCTTTGGCATCTAGATGCTGCGGGCTTGTAGCGTCGGCCGAATGAGCTCGTCAGACTTATCACCGGGCTTCGCATTCCCGTTCGAGATTTTCGGTCAATTAGTAGATGTGAAAGTCGTACAACGCTCAAATAGTGGCGTTATTTAACGATTATTTGTATGATGATAAGAGGAAGGATGAAAGCATTCCCAAGTTCCTGACAATAGATCTCTCGGAATACCCAGCCCGCCTGGAGAGAGTTTCGCACGGCCACAGCGTAGCTCGTACGCCGAGTACTCTGCGCAGGATTGTCTCCTCCATCGTATGACACTGCGTTGTTTTCATCTCGACTCGTGATGTAGCAAGTATTCGAGTTTAACGTGATTGCTGTTTGCATAGAAGTCAGATCTTTGAGCTCACTGACAGCTACCAATACATCGAAATTGAGCCGGGTTGACCAATCTTCGATATGGCACCTATGAGACCACATGTCTCGAACCATATGTCCTTCCAGAAATTTGTATACTGTTTTGCAGACAATGACCAGAGAGCAAAGCGTGACCATCGAGTGTCTGTGTATCATAGTAATTCGACGTACTAGCTGTGCCAGGGCCGGGCTCCATAGAACCGGCGTATCCGGGTGGCGAGAGACAACGGAAGCAGGCCCAGTGTACTGGCTGACTTGTCACCTATATTGTCAGTTTTGTTGCTTTCTGCTGTGCTGTTGATCGGCTGTTCATCTGCTAGTGTATAAGCTTCCCATACAGATTCATTTGGCCGATAGTAGGTATTGTTAAGAGAATCTGCTGCTCGTTCTCAGGATTCGTATGATTTGAAATAGTTTACACCGGGGTGCATGGCTGTTCTGATCGAGGAATGCTTGACTAGCATCTTATATATCTCCAGTTGCTGCTTCTATGTCGCCTTGTATGGGAGAGTATTGATCATAGTGTATTAACTCAGCTGAACGAGGAGAGATCATCTCACGTATCTGAAGCACGATGACGAACTCAAGTCTAGTAGTAAGACTAAGGAAGGAGAGTGATATATGTATTGTCGAACAGTGATGCGTCTGTCCACCAACATGAGCAAGATCGGTACTGCATGCTGATAATTGCTTCCTGCCGCGGTAGTATAGAAGGCGTTGTACCTCTGTCTTGCAGATTGCTTTCCAGCTCTCGACTAAATGACTGAATGAAACGGATCATCACATGAATTGTACATAGTCAAGAGGCCGTACAGCTGACGTACGTCGAAGAGGACCAATATAGCGTTCTAAGGTCCTGCGACATTTCCTCGATGTGATCTGAGAGTTGCTTGACCGACGACTGCGGAATGTAGGCATCTTATCTTCGGCCAAGGGTTGGGTTTCCAGCAGACAAGTCAGGTAAGACAGGAAAGTCTCCTTAACGAGCTCGACTTTAGGTTTGCGATCGGCGTAAGCAGTCATCGATCGTATGGTGGCTTCAGCGATGGTTTGGCCATCATTGGTCGCGAACTTCCAAGAAGGATTGCCCATTTCAGGCTTTAGAAAGACTGACTGATCAGGTCGCCGAGCTGCCTTCCCATCCGGTACTGGAAAAGTAACATCTCATGACCGTGCCGCTCTTGTTCAGACGCCGGAACAAGGACGAGGTAGAGACTGCATGAAGAGAACTGTTCATGGGCATGGAAACAACCACCGCAACCAACTGACAGGAGTTGCCAATGTACAGTCGTGTTTCAATTGCCGCCATTAGTTCGCGGCTTGCTTGAACCATTTGAGGCTTTTCAATACTGTAACATCTCGAGTGGGGGCCGCTGAAACGGCGATGGTATCTCCATATAGAGAATATATGATGGCGTCGCCCAGTCGGGCTTCTCAGTGCTTGCTGATGCATACCTCCTCGCCTGGGAAATGCGTCCACCCAGTCAGCTCCTCTTCTTCAATGCTAACTTGATCGCGAAGAATGGGCAGCATGCTCAGCATTCTAAGTGAAGAAAACTCCAACCGAACGATCGAGTTTCATTTGAGTTGACAGTCCCACTCATGAGAACATTATGCCAGTAACATCCACGCAACGATGATGGAAGGTTTTAGCCATCACTTTCTGCACCATAGTCTTCGCCTTAAGAACTTGTCTTGTATGCGGGGTTTGATTGCCAGTTTCAATTTTTGCTGGATATAGAGAAAATGTTTCGCGAGTAGGCTTTCTCGATTTCATGAAGCCTGAACAGCGCCATCACAGATGAGCACCTTTAGCTTTACCCATGTTCCATTGGAACAGCTTTGGGCTCGAAGATATATTATCTGTGATTTTGTTTCCCATTTCCAGCGGCCGACGATGACTGTCCTATCAGGGAACATATGAGAACTATCCTGGCCCATCCTGGTCACTGAATGCTTCTGTTTTGTTGCCGTATTGACAGGCCATGATGGTCCGTGCGAATCTTGGTTTGAAGAAAGCAGCAATTCTAAAAAACCTCAGAGTTCCGTCTGTCATTGAAGAAAACGGTGGTGACGGTATGAAGACATGACATTTGCGTTGATGCTCCTGTAAACGTGGGTCTTGATCATATTGATGTTGTGGGCATATGGAGCTACTCCTCGTATTCTTTGGAGCAGAAGGTGACTGTAGATAAGTAGAACCACGAAGAATGGAGAATAGATGTCGAAATCCGGTTCGATACCGGCAACAGCAGTTTAGCGCCGATGCATCGAAGAAACGCTAATGCGTTGAACCTTCGAGATCGGGGCGATAGATCACGAGAATGTGGTACTCCGGAAGCAGTACTCGCAAATGAACAGCATCCTGCTGGATGACTGGGACCGACCATGTAGTGACAATACTCGAATCCCTCAGATCGCTTATCTACCGAGAAGTAATGCTGCGACTGTGCCTAGATATGCTGCACGAGGACATGTTCCACCCATTTGATAAGGAAGAAGAGCGCTCTAAGGCAGTGGCTCTTGCCGGAGAAGTCGCTGGATGATAACAATTGCGAGGCATGACGCAGGCAAATGAAAGGGATGAGTAGAAGAGACTCTGAAACAGAGAAAACGAGCGAAAAGTGATGGTTGATGAGAAGATAACAGGCTGCACGAAGAGAGAGCAATGGCGGCTTCTTCAAGTACAGCCCAGCGAAACAAGTATGCCGATATATACTCCGGGGTAAGAGAAACAACTCGTAATATCTGACAATGTTCACCGGGACTTCACAGTTCGGATGCTGCTAACATGATCGCTCCATGGGTTCTTGACACCTAGGTCAGTTCCATTGTGTCGGGATGCGGTAGTAAGACCACACGACACTAGTAGCGGGTTTGAAGCAGGAGGTACTTTGTGTCCATAACACACCAAGTTGCTGAATAGGTCGAAACATAGATTGGCTCTGCTGCGATTGTTTCCAAAGTGTAGGTAGGTGAGTCTTTAGCCCATTGCCCCATGATTTGCGGTATTACAATGAGGAATGTGTGGTTACCTCATGCCCTGTCTTTTCAGCCGACTTGCGATGGGTTTGTTTTGAGATGCAGTCTTTACTGAAAATAACGGTGCAGCAACACTGTAATTTATCGATATTTTCTTATATAATCTCACTCTCCATCAACAACACCATAAAATGGTGCTATGGTTGCAAGGTGAATGACGTCGTTGGTCCGTTGCTCGTAGCTAAGCTGGTCCTTCGATCAGTCTGAGCCAATTCTTTAAACCCAGTGTCCTTCAAGCAGACACCAAGGTACACCCAGACGAGTGAGTCGTGGCCATAGGATGGACGGACTGACTCACGTCTGGGCGATACGCATTGCTCAAGCAACTCATCTTGACAAAGTTCAAAGCTCAATCCCAGCTGTATTTGTCTTGGGCACGCAGAAGTCAGCATACAAGCCAAAATTGTCCAAAGAGGTTTTTCTTACTTCATGGCCCTGAAAATGGATTATGTCGGAATCTATGAGCTGGATGAAAAAGTCTGTTTTGCGTCCACGCCACCATACTCATCGACAGCCTCGGGGTAGTTGCAATGAGGCGATGAAGATTCCGGTTGAAGCTCTGCATGAATTCACTGATTATTGCGCTCTACCACTGCACGCAGAAGAGAGACTTGGTATCAGGAGCCAATAACCGTCAACAGAAAAGAAAAAAAAACGCACCCATGCGACATCAAAGTCATCTGTATAAAAATCCATTACTCCATGTAGAGACGACGATTCTTCGACGGATGAGACTTGGGCATTCATCTCTGCACGCCACAAATCAGCTCTAAGCTCAGAATGTAAGAAGCATTGGTAGTGCAACTTTGGCGAAAGACTAGTACAGAGTTCTTCATCGTCAGAAACGAAGGCGTCTAAGAGAAACGACGGACAGGGTTTCTGGTAGACAAGAACCAAAAGGTTGTGTGTGTTCTTCCCAGACTTCCTGCCTCTGAAACCGTCTTGCCGGAACCGCCAAAAGTAGCCCAGAGCAGCGCTAATGCAGTTCGCTGCCTTGTTCGTGGATTTCCAAACCAGCTCCGCGTTGAAAGCATAAGCCATTATGAGGTATCACGCCACGAGGAGATCCGCCTACAAAGACAAGCAGTCGAAGAAGTTGATTCCGCGATGATGTGAAGCTGCCAAACTAGTTATTATAGTGACAATTCCGAATGTTCCAGGACGACGAGAGAACAGTCTGGTCGGAGTCGAACTCCACTGCTTCAGAGCAAATTTCTATTCAAAGCGTTCAGACGAGTACATCGTGCCTCGGGCGGTTCTTCGAGAAACCACAAAATAAATGTAAAGTGCAGTGTATATACAGAACAAGTAGGTTCTGAACATCCCCTCGTCATTTGTGAAGAAATCAGGCTCTTGAAAGGCGTAGTATATAAATTCTCAGTGCGGGTTGTTCTACCGGTAATCGCGCATCGTATGTGCTGTGTCGACAAGCAAAGCAGTAAGTCTTATATAGACGAGACTAGAGTGACCTGATGAAAAGGTAAGACATTTTAATATAGGCTCTCTCATATAGAGTATCAATTGTGTCAAATCGATATGAACATGACATCAACTTCGAAGGTTGGTGAGCAACTAGTTCTTATGAATCAGCTAATGTGATCTTCTCGTTTGATCATGAAAATCGAGGTGCTTAGCATACCATAAGCGCGACGACACCATACGAGCTGGAACTTCAGTCGTATGCAATGCCCTGTATTCTCTCTCTTCTAGGCCCATCAATAAGGAAGGATGTCTCTATCGTTCCTTTGCTGGTAAGAAAAGCAAACAAAGTCATGAAAAGCACAGTTAAGATGAACCACCAGATGACTGAGAGAGTCCTCATAAGCCTTGAATCATTGTAGTGCTGCAGCTAACGCTCCATGAGGTCAAACATTAGCTGACGTTCATACCGTTATTCAAGCGTAGTACGCAAAGCAAATGACAATGCCACCGTCGAAAGCGTCATATATGTCGGGTGCTTTGCCCCCTAGTTCAGCTTTGGAATTGTGATAGCCGATCAAAACTGTATCGAACATCCCGATCCTTTGCGCAAGAGACCTTGTCCATCCTATGTCATCAACCTCAGGTCTGATCTCGGGGACCTTAGCGATTTGGAGGTCATCGTTCTATAGTGATATCTTCATGAACTTTGCCCGAGGGACTGGTAACATCTCATGGCGCATTTTGAAAAGATCCTTCTTCTTCAAGCTGCTTGGAATATTTTGCGAAGACCGAACGTGTGCAATTGCATAACGTGGAGTTGGACCAGAACGAGTATAATGTCCTGATATTCCCCATGAAGTAAACGTCCAACTAGGACAGATACTCTCAAGCGCTGCTCACTAGCCGGCTTACGTTTCTGTGATGGACCAAACAGCCATATGAGACCGCAGTTTATGCAGTATGTAATGACCGAAGAAAGCCAGAAGGATGCCATATATGCTTTCAATTGCAAGGGGCCGTTCAAGTCTGCGGTAGCTTCAATCTTCCCTTAATATTGGAGGACAATGCAAGGTCTTTTCAAGATCTTCCCGCAATCTCGCTTGGCAGTCTGTCCGCCAAGTGAGGATGATGTGAACCACCCCAGTCACGTTGAACTCTTGAAGGTAATGTACTTTTCTCAACATGATCATTGGTGGCATTGAAGCCTGGGCAGCCTCATCCAACATACTCATGGACACATGGTATACTGGGTCAATCGCAGTTGAGATCAACAAAGTATAAGACCGAAGCCATTGTCTCACCACGCTTCTTCGGAACCATTTGTTCGACGGTTTTCAAGATCAACTTCTGAGATCGGCCAACACAGAGCACTCTGAACCGCTGGATCTTCCCAAGTCCAGCCTTTCACCACGGCAGTTATGGTTCCATCATGTCTTGCTCAATGTGTATGATAAGCAATGATGATGTGGGGAGATGAATGTATTCGAACCGGTTCTCGAAAGTAGAAATATGATAGCCAAGACACCATCCAAGGCCGTTAGCGACTACCACACACCCTGAAAAAAAGCGGGTGCCGTGAAGACCAGCCGACGCAAGACTTGTCATTGCGAGTGAAATGAATAGCATCA